GCTCACGATTTAGAGGCCAGCAAGGAGCGATGGGTTGCGAGGCCAGTACGCCAGGCCGGTGGAAAACCGTCATCGGGCGCCTCTAATTGCGGTGTCGGAACTCGTCCACGCGATGGGTTGCGAGGCCAGCAAATGGATTGTCATCCATCCGTGTATTGTCTCCGTCATCCGTGCCGTTCAGAGGCGGCAAGGAGCGATGCTGGTACGCCCTAACAAAGCCGCGCCTAGCTCCCCCGCGATTTCCACGACCCCCAGCCCCATCACGGTTCGTCTGTGTTTCTCGGACCATGGTGTCGAGTGTGAGACGCACATCTTCGATCCCCGTCGCAAGATCCGCAAACCGGTCTGTGAAATGCTCGTCCATTTGTTGAAAAAGGTTGTTGAAGGCTGCATCTTTTTGTCGGTTTGCTGCATCTTGTCGTCGCGGAGGCATCGTGAATTGTGCTGACTGCTGATACTAACTGATGTAACGAAGCGTACGAGCGAGAAGGAATTGAAGAGATTCAATCTCTCAATACGATAAAACGATAAAATTTTTATTTCATTCATCAACTGAGCAAAACAAAAGGTGGAGAGTCCAAAGGCTCCTATAAACTGATGTAGGGAAGCGTACAAGTGGAGAAGATAAAAGAGATTTTAATCTCTCAATACGATAAAATTCTTATTTCATTCATGAACTAAAAAAAACAGGTGGAGTCCTTTAAATAAGGCTCCCACAAACAATACTCCTAAACTTGTCCATCAAGCCAAGATAAATAATTAAAAATAATATAATAAGCATAATAAAATATATTCTTAAACTAGTGGGACGAGATGATCATATTCGTCGAGATATGCCAATACAATCTCGTCGGCATCACAAATCCTACTCCTAGACTTGTCCACCAAAACAAGATAAATAATTATAAACAATTTAATAAGCATAATAAAATATATTCTTAAACTAATGGGACGAGCTAGTGGTGGGCATGTGTCGGTATAGTTCGGAGATTGAGAAATCTCCGGAATCGTATCAAAATTTGGAGATCAATAAGTTCGATCTCCCTAACTGTACCAAAAAATTGGGACGATTCGGTTCGGAGATTTGTATTTTTCGGTTCGATTTTCGGGACTATCAGAACGGTTCGGTATGGTTTGGTTCGGATCTTCAGAGATTTATTATTTTTTTAAAATTTTTTTTGATGACTATCTAGTTATATTATAATTTTTATATGCTTTAAAAAACAACATTTACCAATACTTGATCATATTAAATATTTTATTTTAAAATCAACTTTAGGAATAATTCTAAATTTTAGTTATTTATATTTTATATGCTTTTAAAAAGCAACATTCATCAACACTTCATCATATTAAACATTTATTTTGAAATCAACTTTAGAAGTAACTCTAAATTTAGTTATTTAATTTTTATGTATGCTTTAAAAAACAAACATTCATCAATAATTCCTCAAATTAGACATTTCATTTTGATATCAACTTTAGAAGTAACTCTAAATTTTAGTTACGACTAAATTTCTGCAACTAATATTGGAAATTTAAAATTCAAACAAAATATAATATAGTTTTTTTCTTAAAAAATATTTTTTAACCTTTCATACCATTTTAAATAATTTTTTTATAACAGGAAAAATTTAATTGTAGATCAGCTATACTAATCATGAAATATATAAGTGAAGGTTAATTATTATTACTATATTTTATTTACATTTTAAAAATTCTGAAATTATATAGGATCAAAGTTGGCATAAAATATACTCCTATAAATGTCGTTTTGACTTTTGTGATTCATCCATTTTGTTATGCATCTAGACATATTAATGTCTAGATGCATAACAAAATGGATGAATCACAAAAGTCAAAACGACATATAATGAACAAGAGTAGTATTAATAATACACATCTAATGTTATAATTCGGTATTTCGGTTCTATACGGTATGGAACAGTTTGGTTTAGTTTTCGGTACGGATATTTGTGAAAAATATCCATAACCGTACCAATTATTTTTTCTGTTCGGTTCGGAGAAAGTCACACTCAACGGATATTTTTCGGTTCGTACGGTTTGTTTTTCGGAAGGGTTCGGAATTTTATGAGTCTCATGTCCAGCCCTAAACGAGCGATCATATTTGTGGAAATATGCCATTGCAATCTCGTCGGCATCACAATGTTGGATAAAAAAGTCCATTTTTGGATATGAAAAGTTAACGTTGATAATTTTTTTCATTTAGGAAAATATTAAAAGCAATCCCCCAAAATCATAAGCACCCAGACACATTGTTTACATACTGAAGCAAAATTAAACAGGTAACTGAAATTAAAAACTGAATTTTCGAAACTAATTTCTGAATCCATTTTTTGGCAGGTGGCTCTACAAATTGTGTAATATTGCTGCATAATATTTTATCTTTAATATTTCAAGATGTGCTATGTTGGTCTGGTTTAATTGGAAGAGAACTTTTTGTGGTCATGTGAAATGTTTTGTAGTTGCATTCACCTCTTTATAACCTCTTATTACAAATCTCTCTGTGTAGTAAATAACGGGAACCTCTAGACACAAAAACCCTGAAATTTGGAGCATTGAAGCGAATATAATCCGTAAATCGAAATATAGGTCTTTCATTTTAGCTTTCTTTTCTTAAAGAGATTCAATGCCAAGCATTTCTTATTTTGGTTTGTGTAATTAAACCTTATTATAACTACTGGAAACTAGTGAAGAACGTTGGCTTCGGCCAAACCTTGGTCAAAAGTTGAGATTTATCTCTGCGTTTTTCTTTAATTTACTTTACGCATAACTTGTGTTAGTTGATGTGGCATATTGAATCCTCTTTACTGAATCCTCTTTTTGTGCGTTGCAGCTTCGAACACCAGTTGACGATGATATGCTGATGCTTGTGACCGAATAGTGTGCAGAAAAGTGTTGGATATGATATGCCCACGCGAACTCTGGTTTTATTAGACTGTGTAGTGTAGAATATGTAATGTAGCTTATTAACCTCTGTGCGTGCAACTTCTTATGAGAGAAAAAAAACAAGTGCATTTGCCTTGTCATGTTGTGCATTCAAGTACTATTTGGTCTTGAAGCTTATAAAACACGTTTTCTACCTACTTTGACTAGGACTCGAATTCTGTCTTTAAAATTTTTAGATAGTTGAGGAAAAAAAAGAAAAGAAAAACATCATTGATGTGTGGTTTGACGACAGAATAGGACATTGGATTGATCTCTCGTTATTTTTTACTTTTTCGTAATTACTGATTAGCTAAAATGTCAGTGTTTTTTGTCCCTTGTTTTTGAGTTTTTGAACCATTCCTGCAAACTGTCTCAATTTCCAATTTGAATATAGCTCGAGGTCAAAAAAGCAAATCTCAAAACTCATCACGCAGAGCATAAATTTCTTTTCACTCATCAAGACTTTCCACCACTCTTAAACACGCTTAGCAATTAATCATCCTCAAACACTGACTTTAATCAGTATCTATACATTGTGTTTGAAGAAAATGGAGAAAAAGAATACCAGCATCAAGATACAATTTTGCTACATTTAAGGAGTTGAGCAATCATCACACATCACACCACCTAAGCAGCAATCAAGAAAACAATCACAAGTCCAATGTCTAAGGTACAACGAATCAAACAAACGAAAACAATCAAGAAAAAAGAGACAACAACAGCAAATAACACAAAAAAAACATAGCCTAGTCCAAAAATAGTCCAGGCGAAGAGTCAACGCCACAAGTGAGCAGAATTACCAAAAAATGGGGGCGACTACCCAAATCTGAACGATGGATAGCCTAGATGGTCCATCCGTATAAGGGTACGGAGGCATAAGCGGAGAGAGACATTGTCAGGATGGAGAATGCGTCTCTGGGAGTGAAGGTCGCGATTCAATAGGCATGAGCGAAGATGTGCGAGATCCTATAGAGAATCGACACTTACCGAAGTGTGACTTTAATAGGCATGAGCGGATGCTAAATCTATCACGCGCCCTGATAGCCAGAGGTTAAGAGTGTGATGACAACTAGGATGCGGCAGAGTTTTTGAGAAGGATATCAGGAAGCTATTGCACCAAGAATTTAAAGGCAATGCCAAGAGAGGGCATCATGAATCTTAATATTGTTACAAAACTGCCGTTGAGGTGCTGTATAACCACAAAACACCCCAGCTACACCCATAATACAATTTAGTAAAATATAGGACTCTGGGCAAAATGATGCAAGGTAACTCGTACTTTTATCACATACAAAATTAAAGGTACTACACAAGTTTCCATTCCAACTCTCATATTCACAAGCCACTGACATCCAGGTAATAAGATGCCTAGAAATTTAAAATCACAAGAATGTACAAAGGTCCAAAACTCAATCATGAAATCTGCTCTCTTTCATGAATGAGATTTTTTTCCATTTTTATCCTGCCTAACAAGTACAGTTTCCTAAACCCATAATCTGTTTGGATCCATCATACATTGCAAATGATAACTATCTTCTCGACTCCTTCTAGCAAACAAAACGGAAAACCAGACGTTGCCGAACCATATCCATGCTTCAATTCTTCAGAATGTGCTAAATATCATCCACAGATTTTCGCATGTCGTCAC